AGCTAAACGAGAAACTGTATCCAAAAACCAACAAAATAAAACAAAACAACAAAAACAAAAAACCCAACCCTCCCCACAAAACCAACCCAACCCAACCAACCAACCAAACAAAACTCCCCCCAAAAACAAAAAACAAAAACAAAACAAAACAAAACAAAAAAAAAAAAAAAAAAAAAAAAGGTGTCAAACTCTGGGTACTTTGTGTCTTTATATTTTTGTCATTTTAGAAAATTTCTAAAATGTCTGTTTATGTAGCTCTGGATGTCCTAGAACTCACATCAAAAAAGATGTTTACCACTAAAATAGCTCCCAAAGTTACTTTAAAGTCTTTGACAGTTTGTAACTCCGGTAGTATTTTGAAAATACTTCGAGGGCATTGTAGCACACACCTGTGATCCCAGCACCTGGAAGGCTGACTCAGGAGGATTATGAGTTCAAGGCCAGCCTGGGCAACTCCAGCTGATCCATTTTTCTTATAGACTTCAATGATCAGAGTCTCATAGGTAGATACTGCCCTCTTGTGGTTATTTGGAGAATCTACTGGGCACGTTTCGGATGTTTGATTCCCTACTGACAAGCAGGGACTGGGATTTTAGGTGGCACAAAGTGTGTGTGACTGTCCAGGAGAATGAAATATTGGTTTATTTCCCAGACTTGTAGGTGAGGAATCCAGATGAAAGTATTTCTTGACAACTGAATTTTTCTGGAACGAAACTACTGGGCAAATTACAGGGCCATTATCCTTTGTTCTGGGAGATTCTTTTTAAAATATCTATTAATGTGTAGGCACCCACAGAGGCCAAAAGAGCTCACTGGATTCCCTGAACTGGAATTGCAGGCCATAGTGGGCTGTCCTATGGGTGCTGGGAGCCCAGCTCAGCCCTTTTCAAGAGCAGCCAGTGTTCTTGATCATTGAGCCATCTCTCCAGCCGCTGGGAGATCCTTTCTACTGTACACTGATTAAAAACAGATTTTTAAATTTTATTTGATGTATGCGTTTTCCCCACGCGTGCTCTGTTCCTGCACAGGTCAGAAGAGGCTGTCAACCCCTGGAGCTGGAGTTACAGACAGACATGAGCAGCCATGTGGGTGCTGGGAACTGAACGCTAGCATGAGCTCTTAGCCACTGAGCCATCCTTCCAGCCATTGCTTCTGCTTCCTCGTCTTCTCTTCCTTCTCCTCTTCCCCTTTCCTTTCCTGTGTTCCTGGAGGTAATACCCGGACCTATGCACGTGTTCAGAAAGTGCTCACATTGAGCCACTGCCTTGCCCTCATTGCCTCCTAAACATCAGTATAGATTGTTCATATCATCTTGACTTAAGTTTTTATAGATAATATGTGTCTAGAAACGTATTTTGTTTCAGCTTTAAAATTTATCGGCATATCAAATTTCAAATTATTGAAAGCATTTCACATCCTCCGTGTGTGTGTGTGTGTGTGTGTGTGTGTGTGTGCACGCGCACACACACGCTCATGCACTTAGCACATATTCCATGATGTACCTTGGAGTCAGAAGACGACTGTAGGAAGCTGGCTCTTTTTCTACCACCAGGTAGGGCCTTAGCTTCTGAGCCATCTCCCTGACCCCTACAATTATTCCTATTGACCCTCCATATTTCACTGGTATCTGCTTTAATGTCTCTATTTTAATCTTCAATTGTATTTTTAATCAAAAAGTTTGCTTATTATTATTATTATTATTATTATTATTATTGTGTTTTCAAAATGCATGTGTGTGGGCACATGAGCCATGCATGCTTGTGGAGGTCACAGGACAACGTCACAGGTTGTTTCTGTCCTTCATCCTTTACGTGGGTTCCTGGGATTGAACTCAAGTCACTATGCTTCTACGGCCAGAGTCTTCCCCTGTGGAGGCATCTCAATGGCCCTCTAATCAGAGCTTCTCTTCTTCTGTCTTGGTTAGTCTGGCGATTTGTCAACTTTGTTTACCTTTTCTCTTTTATGTATGTGCACGTTTGTGTCTGTAACCCCATGGTGTGTGTGTGTAGAGGTCAGAAGGCAACTTTGTGTGTTTCACCTTTCACCTTGTTTGGGACAGGATCTTAGTTATTTTTCCACCACACACACCACAGCAGGTGGCCCACAAGCTTCTGGGGGTTCCCTGTCTGCCTTCCATCTCTCTGCAGAAGCGCTGAGAGTACAGAGTCTGTTGCCATGGGTTCAGCATTTACACAGGTTCTGGGGATTTGAACTCAGATTCTCACCCTTGGTAGCAAATGGGCATTCCCCCCACCCCCCGCCCCCCAGTCCTCTTGTTGATCTTTTTAAAGAATCAACTCTGTGTCTGACTAGTTCTTTGTCCTGTTCTTTTAATTTCTTTATTATTTTTTCCATCTGTGAGTTTTGAGTTTGGCTTAGTCTTGTGTTTCTAAGACCTTGGGGGCATATCATTAGGTTATTTACTCAAAACCACTCTGAGTTTTGAATGTAGGCTTTCTAATTGACAGACATCTCTCTTAGAACTACCTTAGTTGTCTTTCAAAGGTTCTTCATGAGCAACTGACCACTGAAGCTCAGTTATCATGTGTAGGATGATTTCTCTTGCTGTTGATGGGAGGGATCCCGGGAAGCCCTGAGTGAGTGAAGCCCTGAGTGAATGTACGTTGTAGGTGTGGCCACAGTTATATCAAGGACTAAGGCTTCAGACCCACGGGAAATTGGCAAAGCCTTTTCCCATACTGGCGAGGCTCAGAATTGGCAAAGTCTTCTTCCTCTGGTACAAGTCCAAGTGTTTATAATTGATCAGTGTGTGCAAAAACTAGCAACTGCAGCTTCCGTCTGCTGGCTGTGTATAGCCCGAGACTGCTGGCCTGCAGAAACCTCTCCTGAGACTAGTGCGCCCCTCCCCCTGTGCATACACCAAGCACAGGGTAGCGGTTGCAGCTCTGTTAGAGCACACACCTCACTTGACCCCAGTTTTTCTGTCTGTGTGTCTGTGTGTCTGTTCTTTCTTCATTCCCTTCACACCCTTAGTCAGAGTTCTGGGGCAAAGCTGAACAGGAAATGGGAATTGATTGCATGTCATCTATTGGTCTGTCACTTACTCTTCCGCTGCACATCCGGTGTGCTCTTAAGCGCATCTACCACAGCCCTTTATTTTAGACAGTGCAATCTGCTTTAGAATGTCAAATTTATCTTTGGGGGTTCCACTTTGAGGATGCTGTATCAACACATGGCAATCCCCAGTGAATCATAGCTCCCCCTATTTGTGTCCTGTGCTCCTTTCCCACAATGATCTTGGGCCATCTGTCTTGCTGTGACCAACAGGACTTTAGCAAATGCAGCAGAAGTCTGATAAATGCTATATGTTGGGGCATACCTTCTTGGACCCAGCCGCTGTGGAAGAAGCAAAGGAAGATGATGCACTCACATGGGACTAGCGGAAGAACTGTTCAACTGTGAGTAAGAGCACACAGGGCTATTTTATTATACTATATTTGAGATCAGGTTTGTAATGTAGCACCAGAAGAGTGGCCTCTTTAAAATGTATTAGATTATTATTAATTATTATGATTAAGAAAAGATCGTACTCTCTACCTCAGGCTTGTTTCAGACTGGTCTCAAATTCTTGGTGATTTCACCCTTCCCCTTTAGCCTCCCAAGTGCTGGGATTATAGGCATAAGCCTCTACTCCCAACGGTTTGATTTTGAAATAGGTTCCTGTATAGCCAAGGCCGCCTTCACAGAACAGCTGAAGCTCACCTTGGATTCCTGAGCTGCTAGCACTTGCCACGCTTGGTTTGATGTGTTATTAGAGATTCTCCATCCTTTCACCCACTTCATCAATCTTTTTTCTCGTTTCCTAAGCATATGTATGGTAGTTCCTTTGGAGTTGTCTGCTACTTCCAGAAAGTGTGCCTGGAACTGACTTCTTTTTATTATTATTTATTATTATTATTATTGATCATGTTTCCTTCCTTTGTGCCTGTCTTATAAATGTGTGTATGCATACACATATAATTTTTTTTTATGTGGTGCTGGGGATTGAACCTAGGGCTTTATATTAGGCAAGCACTCTTCCAATGAGCTATATTTTTACATCTTAAAATTTTTAGGTTGGGCATGTGTTATAATTGGCACCTGTGGTGGATGGTTTTATGTCATCTTGACACAGCTAGAGTCATCTGGGAGGAGGGAACCTCAACTGAGAAAATGCTTCTCTAAGATCTGTCTGTAAGAGACTTTCTCAGTTAACGATCAATGGGGGAGAGCCTGGCACATCATGGGTGGTGCCATCCCTGGATTGGTGGCCCTGGGTTCTATTAAGAAAGCAAGTCATGGGAAGAAAACAAGTAAGCGGCACACCTCCATGGCTTCTGCATCAGCTCCTGCCTCCAAGTTCCTGTCCTGACTTCTTTGATGATGAACTGTAATGAGGAAGTGTAAGCAGAATAAGCCCTTTCCTCCCGAGCTTTCTTTTTGATCATGATGTTTCATCACAGCAATAGAAACTCTAACTAAGGCAGCATATGTTGGTAGTGCATGCCTTTAATCCCAGCACTCAGGAGGAAGAGGCAGGCAGATCTCTAGGAGTTCGAGGCCAGCCTGGTCTACAGAGCCAGTTTCAGGACAGGCTCCAAAACAATACAGAGAAATCCTGTCTCAAAAAAAATCAGGCAACAGGGAACACTTATGTCTTATGCAAGGAAGGTCTTGGGATTTAAAAATAATGATTTTGAGGGTACAGGGTTAATAATATCAAAGATCATTTGTATGAGGGCAGTGGGATTACTAAAAACTGATTGAGCCAACCTCTGAAAATGATTATACCTAAACAGCTCTAGAAACACAAATTACATAAGCACATTTCTGTTAGCTGCCCAACAGTTGTTTCATCCTATGCCTCATGGATTCAAGAAAATCCCACTATTCACCCATGAGAGACAGAGATGCCATATTACTATTATGATGGTGGTTATTATTGTTTTGACTTCCTATACTTGAAAGTTGCTAGTGTAGATGAGCAGGCTACACAGGGGTCAGCCAGGTGCATTTATTGACTGAGCTCAAGAATCCATGAGCTCAACCTAGGACAACTTTGCCAACTGCATCCTCCAGGCTCTAGGCTTCAGGGCACTTAAAACAGCCATGGCTTTGGCTTTGGTTGGTACTTGGGCTTCACGCAGCACATCTTCCCGTTTGTGCAGTAGACATAGACGCTCTCCTTCCTAGAGCATCGGTGGCGGCACTTGCCATTGAGGTTCCAGCATCTCTGAGCATCACCTGGTACAAAGAAGAGAGAAGGGAGACTGGGTCAGTCCTAAGAAGAGGGTGGCTTCGGACTGGAGGAGCAGGCACAGGTATGTCCCGACGGTTCCCTTGGACTGGTTTCTCTCCAGCACTTGAGGGTCCCTGCAGCCGCTTATGAAATACTTACTCAGAGGCTAATATTAAATATAATTGTTTGGCCCATGGCTCAGGCTTATTACTGGCTAGCTTTCTCTTATAAATGAACTCCTTTTCTAATCTGTGTATCACCATGTGGCTGTGACTTAAGGGAAATGCCCTGGCATGTTACTCCTCTGGCACAGCATGGCATCTTCCTGACTCCGCCTTCTTTCTTTCTCCTTCTTTGTTTGGATTTCCCACCTAGCTACATTCTGCTTGGCCATTGGCCAAATCAGCTTTATTTATCAATCAGTGAAAGCAACGCATATTCACAGCATACAGAAAGACATCCCATATCATCATTGCATGACATGAAGGTAGAATGGGGACCATGAAAAGTGATGTCTAGAGATAGGGACAGGGAACAAGAAGGGGTAATGCAATATATAGACATGAAAACAGAAGAAAGGACTCTCTGGGGGGGGGAGGAGGGCAGCCAAAGGGCAGAGGGGAAGGCAGGCATAAAGTGGGAGGAAAGACACAAAATATGATATATATGCATGAAAGTGCAGCAGTGAGACCCGTTACTTTGTAGGCCAGATAACAAAAATTAATTAAAAAATAATTTCAAAAAGACTAACAGCAGCTATTTTAATCCGTGTTAAAAACTTCAGATAGGGCCGAGAAGAGAGAGAAAAACCCAAAAACAAAACAAAACAAAAACCCCGACACATGCCTGCTCTGTGCAGGTCTCCAGAGGGCATGGCTCTTGTCTTTGAACACTCATATGAGAAATGTATCAAAGCCTGGGAAAGAATCAGCAAGAGAGTGAGGCAGAACTGTCCTCAGAACTGGGAATGCTCTGTGTGCTCACCCGCCAGAGCAGAAAGGTTATATAAAATCTGTAGTGTTTATGGGGCCAGAGGTTTAGAGCACTTGCTGCTCTGTCAGAGGACCCTGGTTCAGTTCCTAGCACCCACATGGCAGCCCACAACAAGCTGTAACTTCAGTTCCAGGGGACCCAACAGCCTCCTCGGGTCTCTACAGACACCAAGTATGCATATAGAACACAAACATATGTGCATGTAAAATACACACAAGATAAAAATAAATATAGAAACAGCCAGTCAGTGCAGTCCACAAATATAATTCCTGGGAATGGAGACAGGAAGATTAGGAGGCAAGTCTCAGCTATATAGTAAGCTCCAAGGCAGCCTGGGTTATACAAGACTAAATGGATAAATACATACAATTGAAAATATCTTCTGCAAAAGATAAGTGAATTTGGAGACACAAGACAGAAACTATTCAAAATGAAGGACAGAGAAAGAATAGAGCCTTGCTGACTGTGGAACAGTAATAGCAAATCAACATGTCAGCAGCTGACATGCCAAAGGAATGAGAGGAGAGAGACGAGAAGAGTATGTGAACAAATAGAGTCTGGAAAAATCTCAAGTGTGACAAGAATCACAATTAGCCAGAAACCTCAGATTCCTGATACGACTCCTAAAAGTTGTCCTTCGATGTCGACACCTGCCATGGTACATGCATATAGCTATGGAAGCCAAATGAGATTATTTGAGGTGTAGGAAGGAGCCTTGCAGGAGGGGTAGGACGGGGTGTGGAAGCATGAAGATGTGAGTACTGTGGAAAGCTGTTTTCTGGGAATAGCAGCCATTACTGTATTTTCTTCCTTCCCTAACGAAAATAGATTTATTTATAGTTTGCCTGAACTGGGGCAAGGAAGATGCCTCCTTTCTCCCTCCTCCCTTTCCAGTATCAATGTTATAGTTTCACAGGAAAGATGCAACAACAGCCTAGGCATCCCTGTGTCTTCTGTGATAAGCAGCCAGAACGGCATGGGATCTCTCCCAGGGAGGCAACCAATAAAGGTTGAAGAAAGAATGAAAGGGTGTGGGTGTGGTATCATGGAGTCTCTTCTGGGGAGTCATGCTCCAGTGGTGGCCCCCAGGCTTCAGCCCAGAGGTTACTGAAGAAATCAGAACTGTTGGGGTTTACTGTTCCAATAGTGTCAGAGCTGAAGAGAGCCACATCCTCTTCTGTTGAGGGTGTTTGGCTTTTTATTTTTCCAGGAAGTGTTTCTGGATCTCTCCTTCAGGTCATGGAGCCATGCCCCACAGCAAGGACCAGCATACTCTCTTGTCACAGCAAGGACCAGCATACTCTCTTGTGCGGTGGCGACAGGGAAAAGGGAGGAGTGGAGAGAGTTGTAAAGAGCAAGCCCAGTGCAGAAGGCAGCAAGGGGCAGAGTGAGCATCTTAGAGTGAGGGATAGCGGAGCTGCCAAGTGCTCCTATCAACGCCATCCTAAGTTACCCCAGGGTCATAGAGACCCATTTCCTGGGCATCGCTGCACTCAACACCCCTCACGCCATGTTCAGTTATTATTTTAACTTCTTCCGGTATTCCAGGAGAAAGCAAGGTCTCTGCCTCTCCCAGAATGGAAGTTCCCGGGAAACTGCAGATGAATTACAGACAGTAAGAAGCTAACTTCCCATCCCCCTCTTCCAGACAGGGCCTCATTTATCCCAGGCTGCCCTCAAACTTATTAAGTAGCCCTTGAATTTCTGATCCTTCAACCTCCATCTCCCAGGTTCTAGGATTACAATCCTGCATCACCACACTCAGTTTATGTGGTGCTGGGAATCAAACCCAGGGCTTTCTGCATGCCAGGCAAGCACTCCATCACCTGGGCTGCAGCCCCAGATGTTAGTGCTTTCAAGCCCCCTGTGACCACACACACACACACACACACACACACACACACACACGCACGCACGCACGCACGCACGCACGCACGCACGCACGCACGCACGCACACGTGCATTCACACACACACAGACACACACACATGCTCAGTGTTGCCACAGTCATCAGAGAAATGAGCAAGTGACCCTCTAAACAGTGGTGAGGTTAGGACTGTTGTGATCAGAGTCAAACAATGGTGTGCCACTTAGATGAAGGGTGTTTCAGGGTCACAGTAGGGAACTGAGTGGTCAGCTTGCTTAGACAAATTGTATGTTCTGATTCTGTAAAGTTTGAGAGTGTTGGGGTGGATAGAAACTCTGCTAGTTGAGTAGAGGAGGCAGGTAGTTGGTGTGGCAGGTAGGAAGGACAGGGTTGACCTCCTCAGCGAAGCCCTCCCATGACCGTCACCAGGCAACTTTAGGCTGCTTTCTCACCTGTGGCTCTCACCTCTCACCCCTGCATTTTGGACTGGGTCCCCACAGGCAGCATGCTCTCTCCCTCCTGGGATTGCTTACTTATGCTTATCCGGAATCCTCCCCTCCCCACCGCTTCCCCTCCCCCATCTAATTTCAAGGCACTTTCCAGGACTCTCCTGACCTCAGGTTAGCTAGGCCCTACTAGTGTTTCCTCAGTTCCCTGGCTTCCCTTTGTCCAGCTTTGGGTATGATGCTATCTAACTGCGTCTGAGGACCATGCCATTTGCCTCCATAATCCTAGCTCCAGCACGAAGTATGACAGAGAGAGGAACTGCAAACATGAGCTTCTCACTCCCATTAAGGTAGCTGTGGCTTTTACTAAGCCTGGAACATTTTGCTGACTGTTTTTCTAAGACATCTGCTGTTGCCTTCTCCTCTCTGGCTACTTCGGCCTCCACGCTGGCCCTCTGCCCAGCTTGGTAGAGCTGAGCATGGAGTGGGTGATGAATGAGATACTCAGGAAGTTGTTGGTACCTAAGATCCGGTACGTGGCAAGGTGGCTGGGAAAGGTGGCCCTAAGCCAGGCTGGTCCTCCTTGCCCCTGGGGGTTCACTGACAAGGCCAGCGTCCCCCTACCCAGCCCCTTCTCTGAGGAGATCTACATTACCTGGAGTGAGCTGGGACAAGAGCAGCAGTGTGGCCAAGGTCAGCAGCAGGAGCTTCATGGTGGTGAAGCTTCAAGTCCAAAGCGGTGGCAACGTTAGTGGCCAGCTGTGGAAGCCAAGTCTCTCTGGCGGAAGTCCCTCGGATCTCCAGGAGTAGCCCACGGGAACAGCCCTGTATCCCTGGTCTACAGTGTGGAGCCACACCCACCGAGTCCACAGCATCCCTTTGTCTTTTGGATCAGGAGGATGAGGACAGCCAAAGTCCAAGGCCACACAGTACAGCCCCCATTTCCTACCCCCCCCCCCCCGCCTGCCTGCCAGCTCTGCACCACCTTGTCCAAGGTACCAAAAGGGGGCACCACACACACGAATGCCACGGAACACACATCAGTGGCTACCAAAGACACTGGCAGAGAAGAGGAAATGGGTTCCAGGCAGGGCAAGGTCTGTTCAAGAGTGGATAGATACAACAGGAACAAAAATCCGGGGGTGAGGGTGTGGGGTGGGATGATGGCATGCGAGGCTGCTCCACATACCAAGCACAGGGTTGTTCCGGGCTCAAGGCTAAGCTCCTTGGATTCAAGAACAGACGTTTCCTGCGCCCTGGTGTGAACATTCATTCTAGTTTCTTTAGTTCCCTTAGCAAAAGCAAAGTGGCTGCTCCTGCAATAAGTAATGCTTTCTTCAGGGTCTCATTTTTCAACCTTCCAGACAAAGTAAGCAGTTCTCTCCATTAACTATCTGTCTCAATTATTTATGTGAATTCTACTTCCTGCCTGGACCCTCCTGATACAGAGGTCAAGAGAATCAAGGCATGCATAGAGCTTACAGTGTCTGAACCATCAGTGGGGACAGAAAATATTGAATGAGCTGTCAAAGATTTACACAAAGGTAAATGAAAGTGTGTGGTGTTAAGTAATTCCTTCAGGAACATTTTTTTTTTTATAAGGAAGAGAATAAGAGATGGTCTGAGACAGGACCCAGTGATCAGCCCTCAACTCCACCATAGTGGCCTGCCACCTCTTACTTCCTGTCAAGATTCAACTGGAGGAGAGCCATTAACGGCATCATAGAATAAGGAATCTCTGGTAAAGTTGGTCTCAGCTTAATCATTGGAGAATCTGGAAAAGCAAAGACTTATTCTTAATTTTGGAAAGTATTTTAAAACGTATCCTCTGAAATTTTCATGAGTATAATGTCTTTTGACCTTATTTGCTCCCTCCATCTCCTTTCTCTGCTCCCCTCACACCTTATTTTGGAGACATGGTCCCATGTAGCCAAGGCTGGCCTTGATCTCTCTATGTAGCTGAAGGTGACCTTGAGCTCTGATCCTCCTGCTCCTACCTCCTGAGTGCTGGGATGAGAAGAATGCTATCATGGCTGGTTTTATAAAGGGTTGGCTGGGGATTGAACCTATGACCTTGTGTGTGCTAGGTAACCATTCAAGCAACTGAGCCATGTTCTCAGTCCTCCTATTAACTTAATTTTTATTTTTAAAATGATTTATTTTTATTTATTTACTTATTTTATTTTATGAGCATTGATTGGTGTTTTGCCTGCATGTATGTTTTGTGTGAGGGTGTCGGGTCCTCTGGAACTGGAGTTACAGACAGGTGTGAACTGTCATGTGGGTGCTGGGAATTGAACCTGGGTCCTCTGGAAGAGCAGCTGATGTTCTTAACCCCTGAGCCATCTCTCCATTCCTTTATTTTTATTTTAAATTATGGATCCATTCCCCTATTTTTATTTTTAATTATGGATGAGTGTATGTGTGCGCATGCAAGTGCAGGTATACTTGGAGGTCTGAAGAGGGCATCAGGTCCTTTGGAGCTGGAGTTGGGGATGGTTGTGCCACTTTCACCCTGCGCATGGGCACTGTGAACCGAACTCAGTTCCCTAGCAACAGCAGTATGCATTTTCAACTGCTGAGCCATCTCTCCAGTTCTTATATGATTTTGGATTGTTTTCAATGCTAAACCCAGGGCTTTAGATATATCAGGCAAGTTCTTTGCCCCCTGCTACATCCCTGGAAATTTTCCTTTTTTTTTTTCTGGGTTTCAATATGTTTCACCAAGGATTTGGAGCAGATGAGCCATGGGTGTCCATCTACCCATCACTTTATTTGGTTCTATAGGTATGAAAAAATAATTTACAGAAAGAAATGGATGCAATAACACAAGGATTTCAGCACCCTTGCAGGGCAGGGTGATTGTATTTCGTCCATGGATTCTTGGGATCAGCCACCCAGGCTCTGAAACCCTTAGACCATGATGGAGCTTCCATTTGACCTCCAACTCCCAAATATATGGTGTCACTTTGAAAGCCATACCCCCAAACATGCCTTTAATCCCTGTACTTGGGAGGCAGAGGCAGGCAGATCTACTTGAGTTCAAGATGAGCCTGGTCTACAGAGTGAGTTCCAGGATAGCCAAAGCTACACAGAGAAACTCTGTCTTGAAAACCAAAACCAACCAATGAAACAAACAAAAAAGCCACACTCCTGGTCCCACTCCTTGCGCACCCGGGTACTACTGTGCTTGGTTGTGATGCCTTTAAAAAGCCAACCCAGGATAGGTGCAAGTATGTGCGTTCTCTCAGTTATAAGGGACAAGGGACCTGGTGAGGGCGTAGAGGAAGAGGCTGTGTGAACTCCTCCAGGCACACCTCAGATAGCATGCCCTGTTCCTGGACAGCAAGAAAGGCCACTTTCAACCTGATCAGGAACCAAAGAAAACAAATTCAATTGACAAGGGAGTAACAATTTTCTGTAATTAAATGATCAGGCATATTATTTTATTACCCAGGATGCCTGCTTTCCCTTTTCCTTGGACCGGAGGACCTGAGGACTGTGGACTGTGGACACCTCACACAGGTGTCATCTTCCTGCCCAGTGCCCTACTGGATGTGATTGAGCTTGATCAGGAGTGCAAACTGGATTCAGGGGAAGTCACCTAAGACGTGACTCCTTACTGTCTCTTCCCCATTGTGGGTACCGCCGAGGGGATCTGGAATCCTGCATCCATTGAATGTGTCTCTTGTCCTCCCATGGAATGGAAAGGCACTCTTGGACTTCTTCCCCTTGCCTTTGTTTTGTACCTGTTATGTTTCTGGGTGTCTCCAACACCAGATAGAGATGTTCTGTGCCTCATTTTGCCTTCCTGGATCTAATATTTGGGCCATAGGCCAGAGGACAACTCTGTTGAGTTAGTTCTCTCACTTTATGTGGGTTCTCAGGTCAAAGTCATGTCTCTGGGCTTAAATGGCAGATAACTTTATCCCCCAGTCACCGTTCTGGTCCCAAGTCTTCCTCTTCTTATGGGCAATCCTGTCCTCCTTAAAAGCTGTAAGCTTGACCCCAATTCAGAGGGTTTTTTTCCCCATGGGCAAATCTGCCCTAATACTTATATTTAAGGGGGACCTGGAGAGATGGTTCAGTAGTTAGAGCACGGGTTCCTCTTTGAAAAGACACAGGTTCAAGCATTACCACTCACAACTATCTGTAATCCATCCCCAGGGGATCTAACACCCTCTTCAGCCCACCTAGGTAGAGTACTGCATGCATGTGGTGCATAGATGTATATTCTGGCAAAACATCCATTTAATCCCAGCACTTGGGAGGCAGAGGCAGGTAGATCTCTGTGGGTTTGAGGCCAGCCTGGTCTACAGAGCTAGTCCCTCTGTGTAACAACTGTTACACAGAGCTGTTACACAGAGAAACCCTGTCTCAGGAGAAAAGCAAAACAAAGCAAACAAAACAACCCCCCCCCCAAACACATGTTTAACTGATTCAAAATCCTTAGAAAGTGAAAGTACGTACAACCTGGTTTTATTGTGAAATAAAGACTATTAGACAACTTAAAATTTGAAAGTGTCAGATGGCCCATTAAAGCCGTGTGTTCTCTCTCTCTTATGATGTCCCTTGTTTCTTGCTGAAAGGGAAGATCATCCTGAGGGGAGAGAAGACTGTTTCCTGTTTCTTATCCATCCCCATTCCTGATGCACAGTGCAGCAGGCAGTGGTAACTTATTCATCTGAACAGATCCATGCACAGTATAAGGAGGCTAAGAGCTCTGGGCTCAGCCTGCCATCCCTGAACTCAGTCACACCCCTGGAATCTTTCTCCTTCTTCCCTTGGTCCTGCAGGAGAATGTAACCACTTGCTATCTCCCCTGGATCTTCAGCGGAGTTGATGTCATTTGTTTCCCAGGCTGTAATCTCAGGATTAATGGATAAAGATGTTTAGCTCTTTGCTTTCCTCCTGCCCTTTCTCATGAGATAGTTGACCGTCCAAGGTCATTGGAAGCCATTGAGGGGCTAAGAGCTTGCTGGAATGAAACATCCTGTAATTCTCAGGGTTTTGTAGGACAAAGAAAAACCTTGTAAAAGGACTTAAGAATATCCAAGCATCTGTCAAGTCTACTCAACAGGAATGGGTAAGATTTAGAGGAGACAACAACCTTACAGCATATTTCCTGGAGGATTTAAGGGACCCAGGTCCTAGAAGAGAGAATGTTGATTAGGAAAGGGTTAGTGTCAGAAGAGACTAACAGTCCCTCACCTCCCAACCCAGTTACTTCATTTGGGCCAGAAAGATAGCAGTGGTGGTCAACAAAACAGCATGCAGAGGCAGGCAGTGATTGTCTCCGGCTGGGCCAGTTCAAGGCTCCAGGTGTGAAGAACAATGGATGATTCAGCTCAAACCAGCTCCAGGGACTGCCTCACCAGGGAAGCATGCCCAGACTGCACTTACCCTCCCCCCTAGTGAACTTTGCAATTTTAGGGACTGCTTAAATGCTGGTTCATATTCTTGAATCATGTGTGTACTTATAACAGAAGGATTTTTGTGTAAAATGGGCTGCCAAGAAGAGCATACCTATTTCCTGGAAGTTTCCACCCTGGAAGAAGCAGAGGGGAAAGGGTGACAGAAGAGAGGCACATGCCCCATGCCTGCTGGGCTCAGCTCATTGCTGCTTGGCTCAGCTGGTTTCTTTCTAAATAGTGCATGGAGGCTTCCTCGGCTGCTTGCTCTACTGTTGTGTCCTGTCTGAATTCTTCTCTTCTGGGAGCA